ATACATAAAAAAGAACTTACATAGTATGCATGTATGATTTATTGTTGTACATTAATAGATGTATGTATATTTAAAAGATTTGAAATAAAAAAGGATTATGTTGAGAATATGAACAACACGGTATATTAATATTTTCATTTACCTACCTGCGAATAAACATTTCAATATAATTTTAAGTAATATATTATTCGTTATGATATTAGTATTTCGTTTGAGAGTGTTTTTTACAAATAAAAATCTTTAAATGTTAGATATCGGAAATTTTTTAAATTTTTACTACAACTTTATCCTAAACGCAGCTAGATTTAGAAGCTTTTACAAGTTGAATATTATAGAGTTTGAGCGAAAAAATTAGTACCCACATACATACGTCCATAAATATATGTCCATATAATAGAAAAACTGAAATATGCAAATTTTTATGTTTCACAATTATTTAGTTGATCAGATAATTATATCTTATGTATTTTTAACTTTTCTCCTTCTTTTTGTTTTCAAGAGCAAACATATACTTTTTTTATTTTTTTTGAGATGTACAAATAAGTAAATGCATGTGTGTATATGTTCATAACCTGCAAGAAAGACTGTTGATTTTTTTAAAGCTTATTGTATTTGCTTCAGTTTCTAGACTATGAAGAGAGTGTATGATAAAGTTAAAGAGAAGTGATGTAAAGTAGAATATGTTGTAAAGTGTTTTATAATATTACATTTGTGCTATTTGAAGTAATAATAGAGGCATACCTATGTCTACTATATACATAACTACATGTACGTATAAACTTTATCTGTTATACACATTCAAAGTTTACCTGACTAATAAAGAATATGTTTGCGTAGTCGTACATTTATCTTGTATTTTTTTCTTTAAATTAGATCATTTTTAAAAAATAAAAATTCTTATATTTCAAATCGTTGTTATGATTTTAAGGCTACTGATTGATAAAATATCGGAACTTTTTGAAATAAAGATAAGGTTGGACTAATATAACATTGTGGTTTATTTAATATGGAATATACATATATACATATATTCACAAATGAATAACCAATTGTTAAACAGAAAAATTTAACATTTATGCGTAGATAACTTTTGATTTATCGCAAAGATTTTATATATCTATAAGTCGTATCTTTCATATTACACAAATTTCAAAAAATGGGTTGATTTATGTAAGTCTTTACGTTATCTTTAAAAAAATTAAACTTGTAATGAAATAATAGACAACCGCTTTACGTTTATAATAGACAACCGCTTTCAAACCTTTCTGAACTTCTTCAAATAATTCTTGTAAATTTTTAACTTCTTTCTATTTTACAATCTTGTCAACATCATTCCACAAATTCTCAATGAGATTGAGGTCGAGGCTTTGTGGGGAGCCAATTCAAAGTACTTATTTTTTCATCTTTTAACCATCTTTTACTGACCTTGCCGGATGTTTTGTGTCGTTGTCATGCATTAAGGTCCAGGACATCGACATTTCTTCATCTACATGATTCACCATCGTATTTTTCAAAATTTTCAAGTACAAATATTGAGTTAAATTCTATTTAATGTATACATTTGGATTTATACCGCATCGATTTATCATTTCCACTTCAATGCCTTATTGTTTTGCTGTATATTTTGAGTTAAACTCGCAAGCTTTAGAACGCCATACAGCTACTTTTCGTTCTGAGCCCATTCTGTTTTGAACTTGCTTTCGACTTACCATAACACTTTCTTCCAAAATGAAAGGAGTTCATCGATATGTAACTCCGCAAAACTTAATCTCTTTAAACAGTTCTTTTCAACAATACAAAGGCCTTTTGCTTGAAACATAACATTTTATTTCACCATCATGTTACCGTCATTCAATAGTATCTTGCCCTATTTCAACTCGATACGAGCTTTTTTAAGACTCTATGAATTTAAGAGGCGAAGTGAAAAGGGTTTCCTTTTGCATACCTTACTAATATTCTATCTTCAAGTGCAGTAGTTTTCTCCGACTACTTAGTATTAGTTGCGGCTCGAAAATAAGAACGTAAACAAATCATCTGATTTTTTTCTAAGAATTGACGGAATCGGTCTTTATTTCTGACTGGTATAAATGTACGAGTATACCTGTCGTTATGCCAATTCAGTTAGTTAACACTGATTCCTTTCATTTTCCAATTTCTTATGGTGAGGTACTTTCTTATGGTTATAACTTTAAAAGGGCAAATTTTAACCTTTTGAATAATTTCTTTTTTTCTTACGATTTATCTTCAATATAAGTGATATTGAGTTAATGACGATTAAGTTTTATGAAATAATTTTAACTGCCTTTGAATTAATTGTTCCGATTATAAGAAATATGTATATTTTAAAAGTTTTGGTCGACATTATTCTTAACCCTAAATGTTTTTGGAAATTTATTAATAATAAGAAGTGGGAAAATTTCTTAACTTTTTTTATATTCATTGGCTATTCGAATAGTAATTCTGGTACTATTTCTAAATTTTTTCGCTTAAATTATACTCGACCACTCCCTTCGTTGCTAACTTAGGCAAATTTCAACACATTAGGAACTACCCAAGAACCACATTTGCTAATTTTCACAAATTCCACTGCATACATACATACATACATGCATATGTAAAAATTTTTCTTGTGATAAGATTTTTTATTTCATTATATTACCAACATTATTTCATTATATTAAAATTTTAACTCCTTACATGCATACAATATCAATACATACATATATGTACAAATTTTTCTTGTGATAAAATTTTTTATATAAAGGAAACCACCAACATTATTTCATTATATTAAAATATTAATTCCTCTTCTACCTTTCTATGAATTTGATTAGCTTATTCAGGCGTAAATTTTTAATTAAGATATTAATCTTTTAATATCTATTTTGTATAATACTTTTCGTACAAATTATATTTGAAAAGTATTACAAAATTAATGTTACAAATTACTCCATTTTTAACATGTTTTAGAGCTTTTAAGTTTCCATAGCATCATTTACCAAAGTTCGAGTAATCGTTTAAGTAACTTAACGACCAGAATTGCGGTGCTTATATTATACTATGATAGTGTTTGATTCCACTCCAAAACGGAGTGATTTCTTAAAATAGACAAAGTCAATGTAATAAAATGTCTTCTTCTCAGTTTCGAATTCATCTTAAAAATTCACTTTTATTTTTATTAGTTACTTTCCGTTTGCTGCAGAACTTATTTCCATAGCATCATTTACCAAAGTAAGTAACTTAACGACCAGAATTGCGGTGCTATATTATACTATGATAGTGTTTGATTCCACTCCAAAACGGAGTGATTTCTTAAAATAGACAAAGTCAATGTAATAAAATTTCTTCTTCTCAGTTTCGAATTCATCTTAAAAATTCTCTTTTATTTTTATTAGTTACTTTCCGTTTGCTGCAGAACTTCATCAAACTAAACTTAAAAATTTTTTGACTATACTATAAATTTAAAAAGTTGTTTAAAACAATCAACTATTAAATAAACTATTAAAGTAAACTATTTTTTTAGTAGTTTTAGTTTCTTCAAAAACTGAGGAGGGATTTTTAACATGTTAGAAAGAGTTCAACAAGAGGAGTCTGGACGTATTTTTACAATATTACAGAAACTTTCTGTTGAACTTTTCTAGAAGAGTTGATTTTAATAATATTTTTATAAATATTCAGAGATTTATACATATTAAGTTTGATATTAAAACTGATTTGTAAACAAGAAATTCGAAAAATGTGTAAAAAAATGGGAATATAAAATTTTAATTGTAAACAATTAACTTATTCGTGAAAGCTGCATTGAGAATTTAATGAGAATTTAATTTGACCCACTTTCGTAAAATATTTACTGTAAGACTTTATTTGTTTACAAAAAAAAATTGCGAACTAAAAAAATACAAAAGAAAGGCCATTATTAACCTTAGACTAGTAAATATTTAGTTTTATTTATTAAGGTACGCAGCTATAAATAAATATTATATACATATATATGTATGCATATGATATATATGTCTGTATATAACTAAGTAATAAATAAATTTAAAATTTAATTGTTCACACTAAATTTAATTGTTCAAACAACTAAACAAAATGTTATTTGTATAATAACAAAATAGAACCAATTTTTGTATCCGGGGTACAATTTGTATATATAACATTTTGCTTTATATAATTTTACTTTATATGTATGTATGTATGTACAATAAATATATTTGCGAAATGTTGGTTGCTAACGAATTTTTTGACCACACAATTCATATTTTGCTGAAATTTCTTTCAGATTTTACAATTTCTATTTTTTAGTATTTATCTGATGGCTGTAACATTATAATTGAAAATATGCTAAATCAGGTTTACTTAAAAAATACGTTTTCTTTAGTTCTACCTTAAACAATGAATAAATCCTGATCAACTATTTCAAATATGTATCTCAAAAACATATTTTGCATTCTAATACATTAACATATAGAAATGCAATACCTTAAGGCGCAAAGAATATAAAAATGAATAATTCAAAGTTTTAATTTTGATGTTTGGCCTGTGCATAAAGCTTTAACAGCTTTTTGTTAAGAGCTTACGTACTTTTGCAAAGTGTATTTTCAAAAAAATCATTAATAGAGACAAAAAAAATATCATAAATAGAGACAAAAAAAAAATATCATAAAAATATGTACATATTTGCTTGAATGTAATTAAACGGTTATTGAGTTATAAATCTGTAAGTCATAAATACGAAATCATTATGTAGTTTGTTTTACTTTGTAAAAAAACTTTTCTGTATAACAATTATTATTCATACAAATTTTCTTTTAAGAGATGAACTGTGCGACGCTAATATAATTTTAACATTTTTCTACAATAATTATGCACAAGTATATACAAATTATAAACAAAAAAGTTTTAACTCTTGTGAGTTAAAACATATGAAAAATTTAACGAAATTTTAAAGTTTAAGTGTAATATACTGAGAACTGAATTTTATACTACTTTCTTTTCAGAGATTTCAAGACACAGACCTCGTATTTGACGACATTTTCGAAAATGAAGATAATAGCAAAAATATATCGGAGACAATAACCGACTCGAAAAGTAAACTTTTATACGATAACGAAAAGCAAGAAATTAAAAGTGATGTATACTTGACAAACGAGCTTTTTGATATTTCTGAAGAAAATGATATTGATAATGACGCAAATGCGAACATAGAATTTCCGATTGAAAAGGAAGATGATTCGCAAAGCTCCAGTTGGTTGGTTCGTGGTGTAAATCGTGTGAAACGGGAAATATCCCGTATGCTTGGCAACAATGATGAAGGAAAAGGAAGAAAAAGAAATAAAACAAACAAAATTGAAAATTTAAAAAAAAGTAAAAAGTTTAATAAATTTAGCAAGAAGACAACCGATATTGATGTGAATGTAAATAAAGATAAAAATAGTTTTAAAAAAAGACGAGATATTTTTGACATTTTCAACTTTGGAGATTATTCAAAAGTAGAAGGCTCAGGAAATGACGGTGATGATAGTGAAACTGAACCATTGGATGTTAATTTTTGTAAATTATGAAATAATTTATTTTTTTATAATTAATAACCACACGATATTTCTTTTTAGATCGAGTAATGTTTACATCACGTGAACTATGGAGCGAGGGATTTAGAGAGCGTGCTTCACACGATTTCCAAAGGTTACAAAAGCAAGTAAAAAATGGTTTTGAAATGTTATTTAACGACAACTATGCACATTTTACTGATATGGGTTACGATCTAGAAGCAACTTTAGTTGAAGCAACGTAAGAAGAAATAAAATTAATTTATTTCATTTAAACATGTTCAGTTCTGATAAGTCAATTTTTAGTCAAACCAATGATCTTTTCAAAACATACTTGACTGCAGATTTAAAAGTAAAAGGCAATGTCAATGCGGATGATTTATCAGATATTATTGAAAATAAATTGAATTCGCTAGAATTAGGGGACCTTCTTGTACAGAGAGACGAAAATTTTTCATTTTTAAAAATTTCAGGTAAGTTGAAGTGGATGTTTTTTTTAAGTATTAAAAATAACGTCAGAATTGGATTTAATTTATTAAAATGAAACAGAAAATGAATTTGACGATCCTAAATCAATAATTCATCGAGTTAGTTCAAATCAATGTATTGGTGGATTTCAATGCGTTAGGAGTAGAGAATGCATATCTCCTAATCAAAGATGCGATAATTTTCAGAATTGTCAGGATGGCAGTGACGAAGAAAATTGTGAAGGTACTAGTACAAACTTGTACACTTAATTCTAAATTTTGGACTTTTAAATAATTATTATAAGAACGGTAAAACTTACAAATAAAATAAAACTATATCGTTTGCGATTTGCTACTAACACTCTCAATTTGCTTATAAAGTAAAAAAAAATTTAATTGAAAGTCCAACATACAAAATTGATATTACATATGTACATACGCATGCAATGTTGTTCTTGTTTGAAGTTGACTGATAAACTTCTGAGGGTAAAACAAAAATTGTTATAAAGTGAAATCGCTTTTTTTATAATATAAATTGATTTCTACAATTTTGAAGAAGCAAAACTAACAAGGATTTGTTATAAGAATGACTACATAATTTTTCTTTTATCGATCAGAATTTGAATTAAAGACTTAGGTTAAGGGATTATTATGAGCTTTTTTATTTACATTATGTATATATAACAAAGTCAATTATTCTTCAATTATAATTCCATTTATATACATAATACATATGTATGTACATAATTTCATTTATGTACATATGTATGTAGACAAATATGATATATGTATGCATAAAAATATTAAGATATAGTTGCTTTACCAAATTGTAAATAATGGATGAATGATTGTGTATAATCTTGTAACTAAAATTTTACTAAAATATAATAAAATCTTGTATTTAAATTTTACTAAAATATGTTCCACAATTATGATAAAAAACAACATCATTTTACTTGTATTTAAAAAATTTCCATTTTAATTAAATTAAGGTAAAACAATAGAAAAATAAATTTACAATTTTCATAAAAGAAAGCAGTATTGGAAAACAGTGCTGACATATTTATTACTGAATATTTTAAAAAGTAAAGAGTTCCAAACATCTGGATAGAAACGCAATTTAATTAATTAAATTTTTTGTTGTGACTCACAATTGAATTAATTTGGAATTTGGTATCTCTTTGAACACTTGAACAACTTGATAAAAAAGGATAAAATAATTTCCGTTTGCTATTTTTTTAACATACTCGTATTATACAGACTATATTTTTTTTTGAAGTTTTGTTATCTTATATACTTTTTTTAATTTAATAATACGTTCCCGCATTTGATTAGTTTAAGTTCCAGAATTTGTCAAAAGCCTGGATTTTTAGTAATCCATTTTCCTATATGGTAATTTTTCTTGTCATATCTGCTTTTTAATATTTAACAAAAATTTAAATAATTTTTCTGTTATTAAATGATTTGGAATAAAAATACATAGTACAAAAAACGCATGTATATAATTAAATAAATTAATGTTAAATATTAATACATGTTACAATATTAATTTGAAATTAATATATTATGTCGGTAATTTTTGTACAATCTATCAAAGTGTTTTTCTATGGTGCGAAAAATAAATGCTAAATATGCTATAACACAGTTTTAAATACTTCTCAGACTATAAGAATGTTTAAGAAGTTAATGCATCACTTGTCAATTTCAAGGTTCATTTATGTTTATGTGTTGTTCCTCTTGCTTGTATACTCTTTGTTACCTAGTTACATAACTTAATCTAAATTCGTTAAATTTCAAATATATATTAGACCATATTTCACACCCGCATCCTACGGAGTACGAAGTTAATACTTGGGAAAATGTAAATACAGTTAAGGAAAACGAAGCAAGTGGGGACTTTGGCTCGGAAACTGAATCATCTATTGGTCATAGCTCTAATCGCTGTGATGAAATTTTCGTTTGCCCAATATCTGGTAAAGAAATTTGTAATATTCAGCTTTGCGATGGTAACCAAGATTGCCCACACGGCGAAGATGAAAATGAAATGAAATGTGACGAAAGAGGTGATATTATTAAAAAAAAATAAACTTTTAATACTTAATGTGAATATTATTTAATGTTATCATATATATAGTTCTTGAATTGTAATTGTTAATATTAAAGATATTCATGTTGAAATACATTTTTTTTAAATAAATTAAATCATAACTTAGACATTTAGACCATATAAAATTTCTATAGCTTCATAAAATTCTTTGGTCTTAAAAATTTATTTTTGATTATGTATGCCTATATTATATATTTTTAAACACTATCTAACAAATTTCAATTAAGGTTTGTCGTACTGCGTATATATATTATAATAACAAATTATACTCGTATACTAAAAAATTGGGTATTTATATACTTATTGAGTGAATTATTAACAATCCTATAAAAGAAACGAAATCATTATATCGCTTACCGAAAAAAACGTAATACATAAATTAATATCAAAAGTATAAAATATGCATAAGAATATATTCAAGTAGGATTTGTTAGCATTTTCTTCTCTGATACCCATAATTCCGAATCGTTAATAATATTACATAATTATAATGAACTTGATATAAAAAAATGAAATTTTGTATTTTTTGGATGTATACATAATAAAAAGAAGTTTTCCATAAAAATTTGCCGGTAATAATTGTCCAAATGGAAAACATTCGTATGCTTTATTTTAAAAAATCTTCTCCATTTTCTCTAGATATTAATTGAACTACACATATTATCTATATCGTTTTACTAAATTGATTATGAATATTTTTTTTAGTTTACACATTTATTCATACAAAAACAGTTCATTTGTTTTGTTTCAGTTCATTAAGTATGTTATATTCTTACATTTTATTTATTTTTTTAAATTTATTATTTAATTTTTGATAAAAAAAAAAAAACCAATTTAACAGGATGTCGCGATGATGAGTTTTCTTGTGATAATGGCAGTCATTGCGTTCCATTATATAAAAAATGTGATAGCTATCCGGACTGTGAAGATTATTCAGATGAATCTGGATGCGAAACTAAAGGTATGTATACTTGATTAAAAATTTGTAAAATTCGTTAGGTTCGATTTATGTTATGTGATAAAATATACATTTATATTGATTTCTATAAATGTATTAAAGACTAAAATGTTTTTTTTTGAATTTTTGTTGTTAGTCATTGGTTGCTACGTATTATATGCATTTTAAAGTATATTTTTTTTTTGCCACTGTATTATATAACGTGCACAATCAAAATTAGTATTGTTTTATTTAAAAGATTAATTTTGATTGTGCGTGCATGGTCAAAATTAGTATTGTTTTATTTAAAAGATGTAAAAAAGTTCAATTAATTTTCGCTCCTTATTTCATGCAGGAAGATATTGAGATTATATTTAATTTTTTACCGTATTTAACTAGTATTTTTAACGTCTGTAGTTGACTATCAGTTTTGGAATTTTGTTTAGAAATTTTCGGTTTAAATTAAGTTTTCACTTACTTATACACTATATTTTTGAGCAATAACCAAAACTTTTTAGTTGTTTTTGTTATTATTTTTTGGGGACGTTTTTAAACTGTGTAATACATACTAAAAATGCATTTAATGTACATAATAAAAAGCTTATTTCATGATAGTCTTATTCTAACCTTTTCCTTTAAAATTATACAATAAATATAAAACATTTTTTGAATAACAAGAATGTCGAAGAGATGAATTTACTTGTGGTAACGGTCAATGTATTTATGATTCTCAAAAGTGCGATGGCTATAAAGATTGCGATGATGGTACAGACGAAGTTCATTGTTTTCAAGGTAAGTAATGTTTATTCTTATGTACATACAAACTTTTTGAATTTTTGGCGTGTTTTTAATAATTTCCTAAATTTGAAATTACAACATAGAATTAGAATGTTTGCCTCATGAAATGTCTTGTGACAACAATACAAAATGTATTCTAAGCTCTCAAAAATGTGATGGATTTGCTCACTGTACGGATAACTCAGACGAATTTGATTGCGAAAGAAAGGGTATGTTAGAGATAGTTTAAATTAACGCTTAAATTCCATTTAATTAAAAATAAATTCTATTGTATATACAAATATAGTTTTTAAAGTTAATTGACGATGCGATAAAAATTTTGTGTTTTTTGATTATGTCATAATTTCAAACATTTTTTTTATACTTTAGTTCTTTTGATCAATATTTTGAATGTTTAGAAATATTACAAACATTTTTGATTAATTGTTTCAAAATGGAAAGTGATTTACTAAAATACATAAAAACATACATATGTGTATATACACAACACGTACTTACATAAATTGCAATTTATAATTGAATCTGATAAATATTTATTACTTCTAGAAGTGTTTTATTTTTGTTTTTTTTTTGTTTGTGATACTTTGATATCTAAAATAATGTAAAGCGGAACAAAATTTTCGAAGACAGAATTACATACAATATATATGTATCTATATTATAAAAGCAGCAAACCTAGTTTAACATTTGTTTTGTCAAAGATACAAATAAATAAGTTCGCTTAAACGTACCTACTTATGTAAATGTTTTGTTCTATAATATTTCTCGGGAATTAAAGGACACAATTCAAAATTTTTACGCTCTTCGAGGGATAAATTCCCTAAAAATATAATATGGAAAAAAATAAGAGTAGAGAGTTTAAACTCAATCTGGTAATTCATTTAAATGTTCGTATGCCTTAAGAGTGGTAATTCATCCAAAAACTTCGTATAAAGTTAGAATAGGATTTTTCAAAATGCTTATGGGTATAATTAAGCTAATGATTTTCAAACTAACCGAGCGCACCGACAATGCGTGTATTTCTATTATTGCATGTACAAATTTTCTTTCGCTTTATTATCTTTTTCTTTTAACATCTTTTTTCTTCTTTTTTTGTTTAACAACTTTCTGGCAATTAACTTACACGTTCATTATCTTATAATACTTGCACTTTGATATGAAAATACTAAACTTAAGACTGTGCCAGAGACCAAATATCTTGCGATGGAGGATCAGTTTGTATTAGCCGAGGACAGGTGTGCGACGGAATTTTTGATTGTAAGGATACTTCTGACGAGAACAATTGCGATGAAGGTACTTGAAAACTTTCCACGAACTTAATATTTTTTTTAATTTTTCAAATTTTATGGGTCACTTGGTTTTTCACTATAAATATTCTTTTTAAATATGCATTAATAATATGCAATATTTTTGAATATATAAATGTATTTATACACCTATGGATAAAAAAGCAAGAATATTATCGAAATTTATATTGTAGAAAATATAATGAACGAAACTGAAAATATTGTTAAATGCACAGTCTGATTTTACACATTATCTAATATAAGATGTTAGATGATTTTATTATTTCGAAGGATTTAAACTTAATGTAAAATAGTAGTAAAATTATCTGTAGGGTTTCTCTTAGCAGTTTAGCGATAATGTAGTGTGTTAATTAATGAAAATTATGTCCTAGTATTGGAACCTAACACAACAAGAATATCTCATTGTAAAACAACAGATTTCGGAAAACCACTGTTTAAGATTTATAAATGTGTTTGTATTTTTCATTAGATTTAATCAAAAATTTTGTATATTATAATGATGTTTTTGCAGAAAATAAAATTTTTAATGCAATTCTGCTATTATCCAAAAATTAGTACTAACTAAGGGTAAAAATGTTTTAAGATTAGTTATCAATGAATATGGTCTCAGTGATGGATAAAAATCCAAAATGGTTTGAATAGCTTTAATTTTAATTTTAGTTACAAATTTTAGTTCTGCAATTTTTATTTTATGATTTTTAAAAGTATCTAAAAACTTATGTATGCATTTTTTATACTTCTTCTTTTCAATTATGTTGCTGTATGTGTGCATCCTTTTTATTTTGCTACAAATCAAATATTATGTTAGAATGTCATCACGATGAATTTTTATGTAGAAGTGGCCACTGTATACAATTTTCGCAAAAATGTGATGGCTATGACGATTGTGGTGATGGTTCGGACGAAATCGATTGTATAAGAGGTAAGTCGTTTTTAAACATTATTTTTGGAAAATTCAAATCTAAAATGTTTTTAAATATTTAATCATATGTATATGTACATATGTAGATATTCACACACATAAATATTATGCTATGCGAAAATATTTATAAAAGTGGTAACTGCAACTAAATTGAAAGTTAGTATTCTAATTTGATATTTAAAGATTTATAATTAGTTTTATATTAAAAAAAAGTATTCACAAATTTTTTTTCTTTTCAAAAAATAAAACTGACAACACCGTAAAAATTTTGTGTTTTTTGTGATGATCATACTTTCGAACATTTTCTTTATACTTTAGTTCTTTTGATCAATATGTTAAACTTTTAGAAATTTTACAAACATTTTTGATAAGTAGTTTCAAAATGGAAAATGATTTACTAAAATACATAAAAACACATGTGTATACACACAAACATAAATTGCAATTCATAATTGAATTTGATAAATATTTATTACTTCTAGAAGTGTTTTATTTTTGTTTTTTTTTTCATTTATGATACCTTGATATCTAAAAAAAATGTAAGACAGAATTACATACATATTTATATTATAAAAGCAGCAAACCTAGTTTAACATTTGTTGTGTCAAAGATACAACCACCAATTTCACTTATACGTACATACATACATATACACATGTTTTGTTCTATAATATTTCTCGGGAATTAAAATACACACTGCAAAATTTTTACGCTTCTCAAGGGATAAATTCCCTAAAATTATAATATGGAAAAAAATTAAAACAGAGAGTTGAAATTCATTCTGGTAATTCATTTAAATGTTTGTATGCCTTAAGAGTGGTAATTCCACCAAAAACTTCGTATAAAGTTAGCATAGCATTACAGAAACCTTATTAAGATTACCATAGTGTTTTTTATAGAACTAAAAAGCTTTTAAAGCGAATAAATTTTTGTTCATAATGCATACGTATACATTTATGTATAAGATATCATTATGTACAAGCAGAACATAGTTCAAAAGGAACAGAAAATTATTAAATATTTATTTAGAAAAAAAACTCGACAAATTACTAAAAATTTAATCAACCAACAAAGTTTGTTAAGGGAGGACAATATTATTTATTGTTACAAGATGAACACTTGGGACTCTTTTATTTATATAAAAAAATTTGAAAAAACATATTCCCATACACATGCTATACATAGTTCATACTATATAACTATATAAAGTTCGAAGCATAAATTTTTGTTAATATAATAATTTCCAATAGAATTTTGTCTTTACATTTACGCACACATGTACTCCCTAAAGTATATGTATAATAATATAACAAATAGGGCAAATTAATTAAAGCATACATTAAAAAATTTTAAATTATGTAAATTCAGTTTTTTATTTGTTAAATAACTCATTTTATTAAAATGACTGTAAAATCAATTTAAAATAATTGTAAATAATAAATGTGTAACAACACTCGCTACAAATCTGATATCTACGCTAAGTTCGAAAAAATCATTAACTGCATTTTTCTTTCATTCTCTTTTTTAATTCAAAAAACATTCAAATATTTTGTACAATTTAATGATTTCTTCTATATACGTATGTATACATACACATTTGTATAAAAACCAATTTGAAGCAAATTAATTAAGTATTCCTCAATACCTCCATGCGTCATTAAGCAAATCAATTATAATGTTCTAACAAATATGTGCATTTTACATATCTGAAAGGAAACTGTCCAACACAAGGTTTATAAAACAGATTCTGGTGTTTGATGCATGGAACTTCGGGGTTACGCTAGATACAACTTTAAATAAATTTAAAAATTTTTGATTCTATATTGTATTAAAATATAATCAGACCCTCATAACATTATGGACTACAGCTTAGGAATATGTTTTTTTTGGGAAGAGGAAATAAAATTTAGAATTTGAAAGATTAGGTAAAGAAAAAAATTATTGCTGTTGAACAAACCACCCATAATCAATCACACGAATAGAAATATTATCAACAACCTGTGAAAATTGTATGAATATATTATGATAATAGAATTTAAGCAAAATTTTATAGACGTATTTAAACCTCTGATTAAAATTTATTACAAGGTTGCTGTATAAGTTTTCTATATTGTACTTATTCTAAAAGGTGTTAAATTTTAATACACAAGTACATACGAGTACTAATACATGAGTAAAGACCAAATGTGATTTTCAACTTCGACAAATAAAATTGAAAACCACATTCGTTTTGTTTTTAAAAACTTATGTAGGCATACTGCACTGCGGTAAACATCAGATTTTTAACAGTTTTTGAGTTGGATTATCTCATTCTCCTGTAAAATGGAAAATACGGCTTCAAAAACGGATGAATTAGTCTTGTAATTCAAGTTTAAAGTATTCAATTTTTTCATAAATATAGATAGAAACAAATTTGAAATTTTTTTTCGTATATCACAACTTCTTCTTATAATATTTTAAAAATGTTCACATAATTAATTTAAGGTATTATTAGCTCAGCAACGTATATTGCAATTAAAATCAATTAAATAATAAGATGTATTCTACAATATACAATTTATGCACTTATGTACACATTATAATCAGAAACAATATTAGAAAATAACTTAAAATTAACTTAATATAATAAAATTATAAAAAAATTTTAAGAATTTGATATTATTATTTAAATTTGTTTTTCTAGTTTTAATAAAACTTTCTGTCAGATTTGTCGTTGGAACGTCAGAAACTTGCATATTTAAATTAAACCGTGATAGAAATATCATTAAATGTTAATATCAAAAATTACACAATAATAAATATTCCAGTCATGTTATCAAATTGAATTATTGATTACAAGATCAATTTTCACTTACAAAATTGTGCGAAATTTTTTTCATAAAAATTATACCAGGTATAAATAAAATATTTTTGTGTTTAGAAATATTTACAATTCCTATTATTTTCTTGAAATGTACTGCAGAAGCTTTTAATGTTGAATTGCATTGCATTAGCTATTAATAATGGTGTATTGATGTATGTAAGTATGACAAAAAAAACTTATGTACATACACATTCGTGTATATGCCACATATTATTTATATATGAATTTATTATGAATGTGTGTTAATTAATTTTTTAGGCACGTATGGTAGTACGTATAGTGTTGTGAAAAATTCACTATGTACTATTGTATTTAGAGTGATATACATACTATATGTACACATATATGTATGTATATATATAGCATTTTATATGCACATTAGTTTTTAGACATATATATATTTTTCCAAAAGGTAAAGTGATGAGCAGTTATATCCTTTTGAAAAGTAAGCTTTTTTTATGCAAATATTTTATTGGCTACTGATAATATCGGTTCACAACATTGTTTTGGTCAACCAATTCAAACCTATTTTGTTATTCTCAAATTTAAAATGTTTTCTCAATGCGCATGGGTATACTTTTGGTTGCATGGTATGTTAAGTTTGTAGAGAAATTTTATTTCCAAAGACAAATTTGTTGTTATTTGGATTCGCTTCATACATAATTCAGCCTTTTAAAAAAAAAAGTTAAAAGTTGAATTGAATTCAAAACTGAACATTTTTGAACGTAAAAGCTTTTTTTTTATATATTCACCATATACTTGTATGTTACATTTATAAGCATGTTTGATTATACCACACTGGTACGGAAAATTGTTATGAATTGCCAGTTAATAAAATTCTTGTTTTTAAATCTATTTGTATTTGCAGAAAAATGTGTGTTTAAAAATAAAATATTTAGTAAATTTCAAAAACCTAATTCAATTATTTAAAATGCTTCCAATATTAGTTCAAAAATTTTTTTTTCAATTTAATATTTTGAATATACAATACATGTAAGTATGTATGTATGCATGGGTGTATGTTTGTATGTATGTATGTAGATTTTACATAAAATATTAGCAACATTGCAAATTCAACTAGGTTTTGCGCTTAATGCAAAGTTTTTGAAGTTTCTTAATTTTTTTTTCACTGTTGTTTATTTAATAAAATTAATTATAAATAATTAATAAGAATATATAAAAAACAAATTTTGTTTTCAAAACTGAAAAATTAACAAGTAATAAATTTCATTAGTTAACAACATTATAAATTTGCAAAATTTGATCAAATTAATAAATTTACAAAAATCGCTTTTGATTCATTTTTGCTGTCATAATTTTCGTTACGTTTGACAAAAGTGGTAAATGAAATAATTCTAAAAATTGATAATTGATAAAAAAAAATTGATAAAAAAAAATTTATCTTTATAATGAATATCTAGTGTAGTCTTTGATTTGATTTCTTAATTTATTTTATAAGGAATGATTTTATATTTTTATAATGAGGAATTGTAGCAGCCCTAATAAGTCTTTTAAAAAATATACATATTATGTAAATATTTGCATATTTTTGCGTATGCAGATTGGAGGTAAACTAAGTTACCCAAAACAATAAGGCAAAATAATACAAAAAAATCTGATGTGGTCAGCACATAACCGACCGCATTGTATATTGTCTAGTTAAGTGAAAGGGTTACAGAATATTATAAAAATGCCTTTTAAATACTTCTTTCCAATTTTTAGGATATTAGGAAGCTTATAGTTAACATACCTTGAAAAATGTAAATTTAGCTCTTAGTAGAGTTTCGCTTTGTGCTACCTGAATTCCCAGAAAAGCTCGCCAGTTAACCAGAACTCAAATACTAAATTTCAAGAAATTCCATCAATTCGTTCCGTAGATATGGTGAAAAATGTAAAATCGGCCCGCAAATCAGTTTTCGAGCCCTGATGTTTCCAAAAAACTTATATGTTCATTGTTTTAATACGAGGAATTCAAGTATTAAATTTCAATGAAATCGGTCAATTATATCCCTTTATATACGCAAAAATGTATATTTGGCCCGTAGTAAACGTTCAGTTGCTGATGCCTGCTTTCTTTCAAAAGTTAGGAATTTTTGCGGACGATCGAGAAAAGCTTACATATGAAATTTCAAGTAAA